ATATTTTTATTTTAGTTGTTTGATATATTTGATGGCTATTTTAGATTAACGTGGTATTGAAAGTTTAGATGTTACAAATTAGGATGAACTTAATTTGCATGTGGAGCGGGAATATGTATATATATATATATATATATATATATATATATATATATATATATATATATAAATGATATATAAATTTAGAGCAATCAACAAATGGAACGCAGCTGGATTATTTTTTCATTGCGGAAATTTAAAGGAAGTTAGCTGTGGTTAAAGCTTATGCAACAGCACTCGGCAAACAATTCCAAAGAGAAATCCCGAAAATAAGAGAAAAAAACTAAAATTCCACCGAAAAACTGCACATACGCAGGCGGGCACCCCCCCCCCCCCCCGCCATGAATAAAAGATGGTTGCAGCGTACCGCCCGGCATTACGTAAAAGCACCAACCGTGTGCGAAGGTGCCATTAAAAATACGATTTTCTCAGTGAGCGCGCGGCGCAAAAAAATGTACACACACATACGTACGTACGGGAGGCAAAGGAAAAAGGTCTTGCTAGCTTCCCTTATAAGCCGGCGTGTCAATTTCCAGTCGCGAAATTAGCAGACAATGCAACGCTTACTCGCGCATTACGTGGATAAGAAATTCCTCAGACCTTTGCTCACTTTTTGGTGGGAGAAAGAGTGGCTTTTGTCTGACTTTATAAAAGGTAATGTGTGCTGGGTGGGGATAAGTTTTTCGGGATGAGCTTAAATTTCGCGTCGAGTTAAATTGTTGAAAAAGAAAGAATAATTGTACGCGTTTATATTAGGATTTAATTTTCAATTTATTTTTTATTTTGGTAGAATTATTTTGTTCATAAGTTTTTGCAGTACCCGATGCAAATTTAAAACTTTAATATGTAATAATAAATTAGTACGAATTGGAATTGGAGCATTGTAGGGTTTACAAATCAGTTAAAACAGTAAAAGTATCAAGTAGATAATGTACTTTATCTTTTCATAACTGAAAAATGCTATTGCTGATAAATTTGAATCGAGTTTCAGTCGACATCTATGTTATCAAAAGAAAAATAAAAAGTTTCGATTTCAAATGCGACGAAACGGCTTCTTAATTTTCATTTTTTATTTTTGTTTTGTTTACTTATACCTGCATAGATAACATAAATAAAGTTTTATTTACTCATCAGTCCACTTACTTAATGTAAGTTTCAAATTCTATCCAATATAGTCCATTTTTCTTCCGATTGTTCATTCGTCTTTCAGCAAAGTTACAGAAGAAAAAAATGTGTAAAACAAATCCAACCCTGCAAACTTCAATTGCAGAATCAAACTCATGATTGGTAAAAAGTACTCCTATCGAATATCGTTTTTTCCGCATTTTCATCACCTGTGCGTCTCTTCCGAACTAAACTGCTCTCTTTCTCTCTCTCTCTCTCGCCGTCTAAAAATTTAACAGTTAGCGCCGTTAAAGCGCGGTGACGCATCGTGTACACACGTTGAGAGTTTCTGGTGGGGAACAATGGAGCTCGCCCGGTACCCCAGCGTCCGCTTGATTTATGGGAGCATTATTTTAGCAGCCATGGCATTCTTGCACGGGTGCACCTCTCTCTCTCTCTCTCTCTGTCTCTCTCTTTCTTTCCCTCTCTCGTTCTTTCTCCTCCTGTAGATTTTCGCGCGCGGACAATCGCACGCCCAAGCATACTAGGATTATATGAGCGCCTTGACAAATTCTACCTGTTCGATTGTGTGTTTGCCTCTGCATCGTGTTGCTCGCTTGCTCGCTTGTTTGGTCCCAATGGCTACTAAGATTATGTGACTGAGAAATTTCACGGAATTTTTGACTTCTTTTTTTAATACATTATTGCTTTTTTTCAAGTTGATTATTCGTGCTTCAAATCCGTAATTGTTGTGGGTTTTATGCCCATTATTAGTAGAAGTTGACCAATTATTTTTATGAAAATTTTATGAAAATTCATTTTTTTAAATGTTAAAAATATTCTATATTAAAAGAGTTCCCTTTACAGAAAACTTTTCATTTCCTTATTCAATAAATGTTTTTTGCAATTGTATCAGTAAATTCAACAGTCAAGTATTAGTATTCAATTTCAATGGAAATGTACCATTATTGCGTTATTATCTCCAAAAGAAGTGCAACTCAAACAGAAATATTTTACGTTCTAAACTTTATTATAAAATGAATATAACAATTTAATTGAGAAAGCTAAAAAAAGAAAAATGTCACATCAGCCGTTACATCGTAAAAATCGAAGTGCGCAAGTTGAAAACCATTGCAAAGATACTCAAATAATTATTGAAAATTCACTGCCATAAAAAATTGATATTTGCATAGCTACTACCGTTCAAAGCATTTATCACGCTATTAGCCCGATGTATGATTAACTCAATTGTTATTTAATTCAAGTACATATACCGACACAGAAACATCCACATGCTTACTTAGTTCACACAAGCCTCCCCATTCCGTTTAATAACCAGTCGCTCTCGCGCAAACATAAAGTTTGAGCTTCTCTCCCACAATTAAAGCCCAACAACAATCAAGATCGCGATACGTATGACTTTCAATAACCGAAAATTACCATGCCGCGCCAATCTGGCAATTATGGCGAATTTGCAAATGCCGCGAGAGTGAGAGTATAGCTAATTGCGTTCGTTAAAATACCTCGGGAAATATCGTTCATGCGCGGGAATTGTCGTTGCCCTACAACCTTCGAACGATTAATGTTTTGTCTTGCGTTGTGAGATTTGAACTTTTTTTCTTTTTCTCGTTCGGCTGTTCGGATAAATCGATCTTGCTTTCGTTTACGAAGCTTGCGAATCAAGACTGCAAATTTTCCATTATTTCAAGTAAATCTTCTTGTTTTTCAAATCAGTATGAAAAACGTCAGAAAGAGTGCGTTTAAAGAAATAATATCGATTTATCTGTTCCGACGATACTTGCGGTGACTGGTCTAATTAATGTAGAGCACCGTTCAAAATTTAGACCTGCTGATAAATTATTTTTGGTATGCCAGCGTGTATTTCTCTTATGGCCTACAGGAAAGTATCCATCTGAGTATGAATTTCTTGGAATAATTATTTCGTAGCCCGGTACCAAAAAAAAGCCTTGAAAGTTTATTGCATCTCGTGAAACCAAGCCTGCGAGCTAACAACATCACACGGACGAATTTCCCAATGCACCAATCTCGAAAACACATAATTCTAAATGCCTAATTGAGTCATAACGCCATAACTAATCCGCATCAAAAAGTCAAATAAAATTACTCAGCAAATCATAAAGCCGCCGTACGCTCTCGGCAATTATGCAGTCAAAACAACTATCACTTGCTTCTGTGTGCTCCGGGCCGAGAGCTAGGGTAGCCCCCATTTATGCATCTGTGCACAATTTACACGAGCGTAAGCAATATCGCCTATATATGCGCACCGTTGCTTGCGCACGCCAGAGATAATAAATACAATTAAAAGTCCACCGTTCTCTCTCTCTCTCTCTCTCTTTCTCTCTATGCTTGGCTGCATAATGGCCTAAAATGAGGTAACAGCTCTCGCGCGGTATATTATACCTTTTACTCTCACTGTGCTCATGCTCACACGCATACGCCAGAGAGAGAGAGAGAGAGAGAGAGAGAGAGAGAGAGAGAGAGAGAGAGAGAGAGAGAGAGAGAGAGAGAGGGAGAGAGACAGACAGACGCTTTAATTGTTCATTATTGAAATGTCGCGTGTGTTGCGCCATGTAGTCACACGTTTCGCGTATATATGACGCCTGTGGAATGTCTCTCTTTTTTGCGATTGCTTTGCGCGCGTGACCACCCAACAATAACGGCATTATTCATTTTTATTTGTAACCGTGCTTCAAAAAATATTTTCTTTTGTTCCGTTGATGGTGAAAAAAGGATACTACGGTGTAAATATAGGGGATACGATAAACGTTTGCTCCAATTGCACCGTCGATTGTACTAAATCTTCAGATTAATTTTACCATCAGATTGACATTTTTTTATCCACATCTCTTTTGAAATACCTTCACTAATCCTTTAGATGTCACTTGGAATCTTTTGTAATAAGTTGTATCATTTAACATCGAATAGCAGTATTTTTAGATCTTTAACGATGATCAAGCTACATCGTACAAAATAGAATTATTAAGGTTTCTTACTACAGAATTATAAATATTAACGCCTATGATTTCCGGGCTGACGCAAACTGACAGCGCAACGCTTTCAAAATTGATAATTGGAAAAATCGAAATACTTGACAATCGCAGAAAATCAAACTCGTCACTGTTACTAATTCGCATACACAAAACGGGAACGGAGCGAAGCTTACCTAGCGCGTATTTGTCGACCATTGAACGTACATGCGCGGGGCAAAAAGTCGTTAATAAATGGCCGCGTGACATTCCATTCGCCGTGTGTCCCTCTTGGCTTTTCTTCCTCGCCTTTCCACGCAGAGGACTTACACGGTTCGCGAGCGAACGCGAATCTGCTTTCTACGACACAAAGACAAGCTTCGATATACCTCGTTACGAGTAATTTTTGCTTATTTTAAAAAAATATTTGTAGAAAACATACGCACTTTACACCAGCAATAAAACACTATATTAAGACAGCCATATTTAACACTTTCACGAAGAATCGCGTTTTATACGTCAAACTTAGTAGTAGTACCACGTGTGCTTTGCAATGCTTTATCGGTTTTAATTACAATTGCACAGTTATACGTTTAAGCTCCCTTCGCTCTACGCGAATGTTTACGGCCGCCCGTCTCGTGTTTAGGAATTTACAGTATACGTTGGACAGATGGTCGCTTCTGATTGCATGCGTGTGTGTGTGTCTGAAAGTATTCGCGAAAAGTCAAGATCGTTGCTGCTGATTAATCGTTGACCGGTGCGCTGATGCTCGGTTGTGATTATGAAAGTTAGCCGTGAATATTTGTATTTTGAGGCTTTGAGTTTCCGTGTGTGGGAAGGTGGTATTATATAGGAATTGTTTGCTTGCAGGAGGAGAGCGAGCTCTCGAGCAAGCGGTGGGCCAGTGCGCCTCGCCGCTCGGACAGCCCCTGCATCCTGGGGCCGCCAACGTCTAGAGAGGTAAGGGTCTGCGAAAAATCAAACACCGACGACAATGTCGCGAATACGCATTCCGCGTAACGATGGACTCCAGCGTTTCAATTTTAGCCATTGCAACTTTGTTTTCGTAAGAGTACGCCTATGGTCTCGAACGATTTCACATAATCGACGCCGTCGAATCGTTTCTCCGACTATGTCAATTGTCCGAAAAAAGAAAGGAAAAAATAACCACGCACGTGCATTATCGCGTGCATTATTGCACCTACGTGTATACTCTCAAGATCGTCATTCTCGCTCTCTCTCTCTCTCTCTCTCGTCAAATCTCTATGGATTATCGGCTGCTTTCACGCTGCGAACGTTAGCGTGTCGTCGTAAAAAAAAGGCAGACACACACGGCCAGGGAACTGCGATGAGACAATGAGAGAAAGCGCGAGGATTAGGGCGCGGATTTCTAATATTGCGATTGCGTGTGACGACGACGATTCATCGGCAGTTGAGATCGGAGGGAAAGCTCTTCCTTTTTTCTTTATCGTCGCGCTAAAACTTGAATTTATTTCTCCTGCAACGATAAATTCTCATTGTTCGCGTTTATACACATCACTTAATCATTTTCGTAAATCTCGGGTTAAGCTTACTCGCTTTGCGCTCATGTATTTGTGTGGAAAAGGATGCGGATGGAAAAATTTGTGAATTCAACGCAATATATCAAACCTTATTTTGTATTTGTGTCGGGTGAGAGTGACGGTCGCTTGTGTTCACTTCGAAAAGCAAAGTTTGAATGATATTTTTCATAATATCACTTGACTGTTGGGCTGCAATGACAAATTGAACAATAATAATTACTAAGACACAAAATCTAATATTTAAATTAGGATTTAGCTTACTTAACTGGCTTTCGATAGATGAGATAGCACACTGATGAGAATCGAATTGTTGATTTACTATTTTCGTAAAATTTTTCAGCGAGAGTATTTTACTTTTAACTTAAAACATTAGCACATAATTAGTTCATTGGTGAAAACTAAAATCTATTCGGAGAATTTGCTTTTTCTTTTTTTTTTCAAGATTCTCTTGTTCCGAATAAAAAGTATCATTCTACGGTTTAATTTTCATCCAAACAATAACCACTCAACCGAACGCACCGCAAACCCCCTTCAACATCTTTATCGCGAGATCCAACACGCGCGCGCATAGCTTTCGAAAAGGCACACAATGCGATTTTATTTAACGTCGTGCGGCTACGTGTCACTACTATACACGTTCTCGCTGGTTCGCCGGTTCGACCCATTTTCATTTGCGGTTTTTCGCGCCGCAAGTTGTGCGCTCGAGCGGCCTTACTCTCGCTTTATAATCGTAGCAATCCCCATTCTCATTTTCTGCGAGAGAGATAGAGAGAGAGACCCCTCCTCTATATCGTGACTTCTCTTTTCAACCTGAAAAAATAGCGTTGCTAATTATCGTACGTATACTGTAAAATTTCTCTATATTGTGCGAGTGTGATTCTGATTGTTTTACGAAATGATCGTGCCGTCTCGATGTAATTTCTTCCCGCTCATTTAAAGGAAGCGGCAGTTATACTTGAAAAAAAGTCGATGTAGACAAGCAATCTGTATCCCGATACAACAACGGAAGCTTCGGAACCGAGACAGGTTTTCTAGAGGTCCTCGATTTTCGCTGAATCAAACGGTGGTTTCCGCGATCTCGCGGATGGTGTCGTTTTTCCGGCTCCGGCTCACGACATCTCGTGCTGCGCCCCCACCTCCTACATATAATGTCCCCCGTGAAATCGTGATTTCGCATTTCGTGGTGTCCTTCCGTTTGCAAATTCCACTATGGGTATGTGTAAGTCAAACTTTTAGAAGAGTAAAATTGCGCTATAGTATGGGTCATTCGAGCGCGGCAGTTTTAAGTGATGCAGATGGAATTATAACCTTTTCCATTGTAATGTTCATATTAAAACTTACGTTTATTTACGTAGATGTCACTCTCAACCTTTGCTAATAATTTTTTTTTTGAAACATCAAGTACAGATAAATATCGTATATCATTATAAAAATACATGAAAAATCTCTACCGATAGTTTGAATATTGCATAGCGATTCCACTTTATCAATTAAATAAGTCTTACTTTACTCTGTGCTTACTCTGTGTAATTAAATACTTACACAGAGGAGAAAAATAATTTACGAAAAGAATCATCACTGGAACAGTCTTTCATTCACAGATACTTAAAAAATTCAAATATCCCATATTTTTTATGTACAGATATACGAATTGTTTATCGGTGCTCAAAACCGTTACAAATGTCCTCGGAAGCATTTTCACTTTAAATGCAAAATTTGACGAGTCACGTACCATTAGAAGGTAACTATAATTCGATAATTACAATTATTACAACTCACATTCCCTTCAAAATCAATGGTTCACTCGATGAAAAATTACAATATCAAATTAAAAATAACAACATCTTGCTATACAAACCCATTAGAAAAGGATTATTCGGTTGGCATTGCAAATCCCTTCCCCCACACACATACACACAGAAGCGCGCGCGCGCATGGAGAAGACACCCAAGCAAGCGAGCGTGACTGGACATAACTCGCCGCAGCATGACGCACCACCCGCACTCGCTCGCTCGCAGAGAGCTCAAGCTCACCACACTACATTTGCCTACAACTGGCATATAAGCCAAGAGAATGTACCTGTCGCTAGAGAGAGAAAGAGAGAGAGAGAGGGAGGGAGTCTGCCCTTTCGCACGGAAGAGGTTCTCTCTCTCTCTCTCTCTCTCTCTCTCTCTGTTGGTGCATCTAGGGCCGAGAAGATGTGCCGTTAGACCGGCGCTGCCTTCCCACGCCAATTAAACATGAGTCATTAACGGCCACCACGAGCTTCTCGACCAATCGATGTTCACCCAATGTATTAGACGAACCAAAGCACCCTTCTGATCTTCTGCTCTTTTTTTTTCTTTTTTCTCGAGGATACTTGAGGGAGTATTATAATGTCTGATTGGCCTCGTTTATGCTGCGCTCCTGGAGTCGATTGATTACCGAGGGAGCCCCACTGAGTCTGTGACTTTTTTATGTGGCAGCTCAGGTAACTGGTGTGTTCGAATATCAAACGTATAGCTTTCCATGATTTTTCATCGTTTTTTTTTTCGGGCAGCTCACGCGCAATACGTAATGCGAGCAATAATTTTTTTTTTCAAATTCGAGAAACTTGTCTTTTCTAGTGCATCACAGAATTTCAGCTTCTGATATTTTTTTATTCGTTGTGGTCATTATAACCTGATTTCAATCGACGAAACAAAAATATACAGACTTATCATAAGTCTTTTAACACGTCGTGTGAAATTTCAGCTCAATTACGCGGCAATGCTTGATTTACCAAACGAATAAAAGGGGATCTATTTTTGCTGATACCAGGACTACGCTCAATTTCAAAATCCCTGCAGCGAAGAAAATCACTATAAGTATAATACTTTACGGAAGAAAAACATTTATATCCCATGCGATTTCCCACAGACACACACACATACCCGCACACGTGAGTTTAATATCATCTCAAGCGAACTACTTTTGCTTCCCTTTCTATAAGCATCCCTACGAGCAAAACGTCTTCTGAGAAGTACGATACAGGTAAGTGTAGCCGATGTATTGAGATATGTCGATATATGTGTATGTGTATAGACGAGTAGCTTAAGCGGAAAGGGTTATTAGCTACCAGGTATCTTAAGGATTTTTTCTCTCCCTCACACTGAGCTTTGGTGTATCTCTCGTGGGAATCTTATATATGTATTTTACTTTTTCTTGTTGGTAGGACTATTTAAGATTAAACTGCACCTCAGCCGAGTTTTTTTCTCTTTTTTTATCATTGGTTAATGTCGTTTTATAGATTCCGATGAGTAAATTGATTCATTAAATCTAAAGACCGACTGGAATTTAATGTATCGTTGGAAATGCATTGTTTCTTTAGTTTACACATGTTGTGGTGTAGGAGCATTATCGGAATTCGATTTTAGGAATTGGTCATACACACATGCCCATATTTCCCTCCGATGAGAATGAAAAAAGAAAATCCGACTGTAACATAGGACACTGTATCGTCATATACCTGCAGCATAGCGGTTGAAGCTCGGCAGATAGGCACACATACACATCTCGGAGAGGAACGTAATATGCGCGCGCGTCCTCGGAGCGCAAAACCAAAGTGTGCCTATGACTCGACGGGATCCCCGGGGTCACGAGTCGTCGGCGCTGAATTATAGCTCGCGATTGCTTCCGATTGTTGCGGCGAATTCCACGTTTACACGCAGGCGCAAATACTTACACAGAGGAGAAAAATAATTCCTCTTACTTGCGTATAGAGACCAGCACACCGTTTTATTATACTGAAATACTCCGCCAACGGTCGAATGGAAGATTTATTACGGCGCGTGCGTCTGTGCGTTCTTAATTCGTGATACGAATTCGAATGGCCGTTTTCTCCGCGGTAATCAATCAGAGTTCGATGTCGGAAGCTTTAAATGTGACTAATCAAGTGATAAAGGATTAACGAGCGAACGAACGAAATTCAAAAGCCCTTTACGTAAAAGCACCTAATGTGCTTTTCCTTATTCGCGAGCGTCGATCCGTACAACGTAAAAAGCTTAACCTTTACTATATCGGCTTTCGCGAGATTACGTTTCCCGCTAATACGCGATTAAGCCATTGCCAAACAGCCTCGCTATTTTTTTCCCCCGCGTGGGCGGCGCACAAGCGTCGGGCATTCCGAGCGGAGAAAAAAGAGCGGATGTCGTCGTTTAAGAGAAAGCGACGCATCTTTGATGTTTATCGCGCGCACCCGCCCCCTGTGTGTACGTGATAGCACCATGGAATTACACAATTTCATGTGGCAATCGCGTTTTGTTTCGCTTGATTATCGCCGGTAATTGCGAGCGCTCTTGATCCTCACGGATACGAACGACCCGACTTTTCGTATCATAAATTTCGTCTATTTTTTCTAGCTAATCGACGGCTGCTACT